AATTGTCTGCTTTTTGAATGTTATCATTCTATTTTCTTTTGTGCATTATTTAATTAAATAAAAATTATTTAATGCACTACTATCATTAGTATAAGTTGGGTTAAGTGTCATTGACAGTCGAGAGCAAAGAAAAAAAAAAGAGAGAATACTCAGGTAAGTATTTCTTTTTTGTTGTTTATTCATTATTATAAAAGTTACTAAAATGTAAAAATAGAGATTTCTTTAGGTTAGTTAAAGTTAGATCAGATAAAATAAATAATAATAATATAATAAAAATGTTTCACGAGACTTGCACGTGAGCGGCTCATGGGTAACAATTTGATAGCATGACGTGATCTGCATATTACCCATGTGATTGACAACTTATAATGGCACAAATAATAGGTAGACATGGTTCAAAGGGCAATAAAACAATAAAATTTAATTATAAACACAAGTATACTATTACAAGTTTAAAGCTACTAAGGATAAACAAATGTAGTTTCATGTTACATTTGAAGTCATTTTAGAAAGAAAAATAGGGTAATTTAGATTTATTTCAACTTTTGTTTTTTGGTGGTTACGAGGTCGGTCTAATTGACCAACCATGTATAGTTAGGGTAGAGAAAATAACAGATAAAATATAAAGTTTTACTGAAAACACACATTTGAAATGTATTTAGGAGGTTTTAGACATTACATAAATGAAATTTGAGATTTTTGAGGATTAATTCTCCAAATTTAGTTAAGTTATAGATTTAGTTGTTACTTGCTATAACGTGTTTTTGTTCTTGTAAAGCCATATACAAACTCCTCCTACAATTTAACAAATGTTTTTGATCTTAGTTGTAATGCTAAGTATTGAGATATTTTCATCAAAATATTATTCATTTATTCCTAACTGACATTCATTATTTTTACTAAATTTGGCTTAATGCCATATGTTGTTTTTGTAATACATCTACAGAGAGACTGGGTAGAGTGAAATTTCAGTTAAAACACTGTTTTGCAAGGTGTTCTTGATTAGGGGGGGGGGATAAGTTTACAGTTCCATGTTTACCAAAAGCTTCTGTAGTACAGTATATTATGGTTATAAAATGTATCTTTATCATTTATATTTAATTATCTATTTATTTATTTTGGTGTAATGTCTTATCTACTGCTAAATTTAGTTAATTTAGTCTTCATATTGTGGCTTATATTTGTTAGTATTACTTCACGAAATCCTAATTTGAGTTTTAATTGTCAGCACATCTATCATACTTTTGGAGGAACGTCTAAAGGAATCAACTTTAAGGATCTGTTATGTGGACTTGTACTACTCACTCGAACGAAACAAGATGAAAAAATTAAATGTAAGTTGACTTTATGTGATGTGTATTAAAATCCATGTTACATATTTTCTGTATTTTGTTAGGCTTAGTAGAGAGGAATGGTTTAATTTTTCATCTTTTTCAAACACTAAGTATTCAGAATCACTTTTTTTATGGTAAAAAGCATTGAATTAGAATCTTTCATTCATTCAGAATAGATCCAATATCATCATCGGTGTTCCATTACTTCCACCCAAACTGGACGTGCACCTCTTAACCAAGTCTTCCCCTCTGGTTAGGGAGCATCTTTGAAATACAATATCACATCTGGCATGTGGACCCAGGATGAGTCCTCTTTCCATATCATTGCACTCAAACTTCTGGTACTTCATCGTCATGCTCCAAATTCTTACCCCTTATAGTGCATCGTTTATTAGAATCCATTCTGACAACCTTTTAGTTTTTCCTATATCAACCACCAAGGGGAACCCAATCAAGGACCTCTTACTTTCAAACCGTGGACCTTCCTTATTGGGCCAATTCTCTATCAGCTCATTTCATTGCCTGCTATGTACTGGGTGCTATGAACCTGGTTGCAGACTGCCTTTCTTGGCAGGACTGTGTTCTACCCATGGAAGAGTCTCTGGACTCTAGGTTTTCCAGTTGGGGCTCCATTCATTGATTCCTTGCCACCCCTTTCATTTCCAAGCTTCCTCTCTTCTGATCACCTGTTTCCTATCATTCAGCCCTGCCTGTTGATGCCTTCTGCCAGGACTGGTCTTATTGTTTTCATCACGAGAAGCCCCTTGTCGTGTCTTCGTGGTGGTACCCTTCTGGTGACTCAACCTTGTTTCCCTCTTCTATGCT